CACAAGTACAAATGGACAACATGCACAGACGGACACATGCACAGGCGGACACGTGTATAAACAGGCACATGTACAGACGGGCACATGCACAGACGGGCACATGCACAGACGGGCACATGCACAGACGGGCACATGCACAGACGGGCACATGCACAGACGGACACACGCACAGACGGACACACGCACAGATGGACACACGCACAGATGGACACATGTACAGACGGGCACATGTACAGACGGGCACATGTACAGACGGGCACATGTACAGACGGGCACATGCACAGATGAACACACGCACAGATGGACACATGCACAGACGGACACATGCACAGACAGACACATGCACAGACAGACACATGCACAGACAAACACATGCACAGTCCGACACATGTACAGATGGGCACATGCATAGATGGACACATGCACAGACGGACACATGCACAGACGGACACATGCACAGACAAACACATGCACAGTCCGACACATGTACAGATGGGCACATGCATAGATGGACACATGCACAGACGGACACATGCACAGACGAACACAGGCACAGGCAGAAACGTGTACACACAAACATGTGTACACACAAACACATGCACAGACGAACACGTGTACAGAAGAACACGTGCACAGACGAACACGTGTACAGAAAAACACGTGCACAGACGACCACATGCAGACGGACACATGTACAGACGGACACATGTACAGACGAACACATGCACAAATGGACACATGCATGTATGCAATTTAGGACTTTTTCCAAAAAGGAACTACTCTAAAATTTTAAAATAATTAGTTTTATGATCAAGGTATTAAAACTACTTAACTTTTTAAAAAAGCCTCTTAAAAAAAAGTTGTGCAGTGAAATTAAGGTCAACTGATCATACTACAACTTTGATAATAATGAATTTTATTTCCACAATATATTGTGCAATTGCAAATATTTGGAAACTGTATTCTGATTGGTTTAAATGTTCTAATACATTCGTTCACAATACAAAGAAATAAATTTGTTTGTATGAAACCATGACTGAATAATAAACAATGCTGCAACGTAAAAGTAAGTTTTTTTTGTGTGTACGTCTGGCAGTAGATCATTATTTACCATGAATCTTCAGGTCAACGTTTTTGTTTTCATTTTTTAATTTAAAGCTGTATTTTACATTTGCCTCAAAAGTTTCTTGGCAATAACCAAACATCGCCAAGCAGTTGTGTGATGCTGTAGAACATTAAAGATGTACATTATAAATTACCTTATTCGATCTTGTGCATTTCTCCAAAATGATATCATTTTGCTAATTTCTAGTATTCTATTGGCTTGAACACCACCAAATGAGCTCAATGTACCATCCTCCATCTTAGATAGAAAGTCTTTGGCTAGCGGGTTTCCAACTTTCTTGTGAGATCCATCCTGATGCATGCAGATTTTTTTAAAATTGACAAATAAATGAAATTAAGCATATTATTTACATTTTATGTTTATATATATATTATTATATATATATATTATGCTTTATTGACTTTTCAAGCCTAAATTGATAAATTTTTTCCATGGTGTCATTTTATATAAATAAAAATTCTATTCTATTCTATTCTATTCTATTGGTATTTGGTTAAATATCATAAATATTGGTAAATTAATATAAATGCAAGTTTGTAATTATTAAAGAACAAAGTCTGATTATGTATGTTAAACATAGATACAAATTGCCTTTCAAATATTCTCTACTTTCATCACTATTTGGGATAGTTGAGGTAACAAGATGAGGGTATAAGTCTTGTGACTGTTACTCTCAGGGAAGATCTCATAGGGTGTTCATGTCTAAGATCTCTTAGACTGCATGCATTGCATATGAGATGCGTAATTAATTAACCTTAGCAATTTTTTTATGTGCATAATATTGCTGGTTTACCTTATGTGACAACAGCAATTAGGTAACATTGATACTGCCATATGTGGTCTTACCTTATGTGGCATCTTAAAGAACCAGCAACCAGGTATATCAACATCATTATGTGGTCCATTACCAACATGCCATGATGGAGAATCACGGCATAATCGTTTCTGAGAAATTTCAGCTTCTATA